TTCACCTATAATAATAAGAGGTAGGAAGAAAACTTACACCCTTTCAGACAGCAGATGCTCAATTTTCTTACTAAATACTGTTAAATTCCTGGTGAGAAAAAAGGAAAAAAAATATAATAATTAGATTTCTTGAGCAATAAATTCAAATTTCCTTGACTTAAAAAAATATATATAATTAAGTAATAATCATCAATCTTTAAAATGAAATCCCCAGTGGTTTCTAAATCTATCTTAATACTAATCAACAATAAAAAATATATCCTTATGAAGAAAAATGCACTATATCCTCATCTTTTTGCTTCATGTCTGGGAGTATGACTAGTAAAGAATTTACAATTGGCAAATGTGCAACCATGAATTCTGAAACATTTTGACTTTGAAATCTCTTACAAATATCCAGAGCAAATCATTACTGCATATCATCATTATCTCTTGTAAATAGCTCCTGGTTTTATGACAATAAATATATTTCCAAAAATGTTAGTATATACCTTCATTAAAAAAAAAAAAAAAAAAACATGAAAACCTTTGATTTTCTAATTAGAACTCTGTTCCATTCAGCAGCCAATGTTAAAATGTAAAAGTTAAGTTGCCTGAAGACACAATAACCTTAATTAAGTATTAATAGGCTCACTGAAATAGGTAGATTTCACAAGTCACATTTCAGTGGTTTTGGTGAAAGTATAACAGTAATCCTAGAATCATGACAGAACATTTACTTGTTTGCCTATAAAAATAAACAAAAACAAAAGTGGATTTCTTTGGCTCCCTAATACTTTCACCCAACCACTGTCTGGAGGGAGTTGTGATTGTAAGGCGTCGCAAGGAAAGTCATGGTGGGTCAGGGAGCATCATTTACTCATACTCAACATTTACTCAATTGCCACATTCATACAGAGTAATACAGTAGCATCACTGACACTATCACTACCCTCACTATCATAAACACTATCACTACCTTCACTATCACATGGGCATCATATACTGCTACAATTGCAATATATATGCCTCACTGAAAATGGCTAAGTTCAAGATGAGCAGAAGTAAAATACTTAGAGTGCAGAAGATAACAAACCAAAGGTTGCCTTTACTATAGATTTCATACAGTACTTTTTTTCATACAAAACCTAGAGCAAGATATGGTAGGGCTTCACTTAATTTACTTCAGCCATCTTAATTCCAAAGCCAAATGCAGCAGCAACCACTCTGTCGCTAGCAGGACAACTCACCAGTGGTTCATTACTTACAGAGAAAGCACTTGGTCAACTTGGAAATAAAGTCTTACAGACATGCTCACAAAAAAAGGCATTTTGACCTCATAAATACAAAAGAACTCATCTGTTTTCTTACACACATGCTGTAAGGTATACAATACACTTCCGTAGAAATTCCTACCACACTTTACAACTATGAAGAAATCTCTCCTGATAGATGTACATCATACAGAAATACAAATGAGAAAGTGTATACAATACACTCATACAAAGATTCATTTGGGCATTAGTCACCTCACAATGTTCACTTCTGCACACTTAGTGGCTTATCACACTTCACCTGGACAGAAATCATAGTATTACAAGTGGTCACTTGTACACTCACAGCACATACAGTTATTCCCTTGGGAAAAGTCAGTCACTAGTGTCTACTACCGTACATCATCCGTGTCCACTTGTATAGGTCACTAGTGTCCACACTTAAATGTCACCAGTGTCCAACTTTAATGTCACTAGTGTCCACTTTTTCATGTCACCAGAGTCCACAAGTAAATGTCACCAGCATTAACTCATGCGGCACACTATTAACACTGCCCCAGTGGTTAAATTTCACATATTTTCAAAACTGAGGCAGAGGAAGCACATCACTCTTGGTTATGTTCAGCAAAACACGGGTCTCACATATGAATTCAAGATGTAACAACATGTTAAAAAACATAATTCTAATCCTGTGGCATGTGGCCTTTGATAGATTCAAAAGCTGCTTTATGAGTAACTTGACTTTTACAATCAATCTGGGCTATTAGTATTATGTATTCTAAACATGGCATAAATGTTACTTCAGATATCTTAGAATCATCTCCTATTATAGTAAATATAAACCATGTAAGTCTGTATTTAAGGTGTATTGAAGTCAGTACGACAAACTATTACAAAACTCATTTACACAATTATACAAACACAAACAAACATCCACTCAATATCTCAATTAAAGCAATCAAAACTCATATGCACTCTACAACGAGCACACAAAATGGCCAACTCTGGTGCCAACACAGCCTTTCTTCAAAAATAAACAAAATGGCCAACTAAAACTTGATCACATATCAAAATAATGGCAAACTTGAGCTATTACAGATCTAGAGCAATGGGCTCAATAATAAAATTTGACTTCTCTTCAGCTCCCTGTTTGATTTTTGTAATGTGTTTTGTATTTCAAACTTATAACTGATCAGAAATCTAAACATTAATTAATGCAACTTAAAAAAATGGTATAAAAGTAAAGTCAAGTTTCAAAATTCAGCCTATTGAATGACTACCAGTTAACTACATTTTTGGTTCTAATCACATCTGGCAAACTTGCCATATGACATGACCAACAAAGATGAGCAGGTAAAAGAGCTGCCTAAGGTACTTTTTAACATTTCTTTGAGAAATTATATAGTTTCCCTTTGGGTAATCCTACCTTACTCATTCAACCACTTGTCCATGTCACAGGTAATGTTGGTAAAATTATCTTTGATCAAGCAACAACCAAGTCATCTTTGTGACATGACAAGTGACACAAAGTGTGCATCACTATCATGAAACACACTGATGGTGTATCTTTCACCAAAAATATTTATCCAACACACCCAAATCATGAGGAAACACAAAACCCATTGGAACCATTTGGTCAAGGAACATTTATATAAAAAAAAAATAAGTATCAAACATTGACAAATAAATAGTCTGAAATTAGAAAAAAACTAACATTTCCTTGACAGCCCTAACTACAGTAATAAAAAAAAAAAAAAAAAAATCAAACTAAATATATTCATTCACTCCCATCTAATGCTACTCCTTTTTTATCAAATCCTTGCATTTTAGTCCGAACTTATGTAGGAACTAGGGTAAGCCACTGCCATACCATTATGTATAGTTTTTACTTATAGTGATCATTCAGCTAAAGTAATTGTAATACAATATTGATATGTAAATAAAAAATGTTTCTCAATAGATAAGATCTGAAACAATTACATGCAAAGTGTTGTGCATACACTGTTTTTATAAGTTGGCACATGATCATGCATCTATTCTGCATTACTTCTTCATAAACTAAAACACTTATTTTCACTGGGAAAAACAAATCAACATATAAAGTGGCTTGGCTAAGTACTTCCCTTTCTATATGGTTACAACCCCAATGCGTCAAATAACAATAACATGAATATCCTATTAATGACTTCATGTGTCATAGTCGTCGTCGTCGTGGCTAACCAACGCCCTAGTCAGTTACACCTCAATCACGACACCTCACAGCATTTCCTGTTTAACAGACATAGTAACATACATTCTCACAACTTCCTGACAAACTACTAAGACAAAAAAGCAGCACTTATTTCCTCTATAATATTTGGCTCAACAATTCCATATCTTAAAGCAGAAAGGGTTAATTTCATTAAGAGAGTGGGGTAGGGGCATAAAATCAAATTCCTTGGTGCTGATACAAAAAACTGGAAAACTACACTGCAAAAAGGAATCATCCCATTCATCCCTTATTACACTCTCCATCTAGTCAACAGTTGGAATTATTACATTAACACATTTCCATTATGTTTGGGGATTCATCAGTAATCTGGCCTAAGTAATCCTAATCAATCTGTTCCATCACCTGAAATGATTAAGACAACAGACATTTGTGGAATACCAAAAATCAGGTGTCATAATTTCTAATAAAGTAAATTTTATCTATTTCCTTACATTTTCATTAATATCTTTTTTGTTGAGAAAATAGTTCTGACACATGACATTTCATACTTCCTCACTATATCTTACACAAATATTTCTTTTCAAGACCAATGAGACTAGGAGGCCAAACAGAATGAGCACTTATACCACAGTGTAAAGAGCATCAAACCACAGGCTAAAGCTTGGGTCCAATATGCCTGCTCAAGTGCAAGAAAAATGCAATTTCTTCTGACCAGTAAAATACTATCCATACCTTACTAGTAGGTATCTATTCAGGGTAAATTTTGCATTTTCCTATTCTAGAGCAACAGCTCACTGGAACCTTTTTTTGTAATGGAATTGACAGAACAAATAACTAATTTTCCAAAACTTGCAAACTTGAATGACTCATTAACACTGGGATGCTCATCTATGCATCAACAAGGGCTGATAGATTTGTAGTATCTTGAGAAATAAACTGCCCAACTAATCAACAATGAAAAGACAGGAAAAAATACTGACAGAATCAAGAAAAGTGAAGAGATCTAAGGTCTTGATGTAAGAGTTTTGAGGGCCAACTCTAATCTTGTGTACATATTTCTAAATAATCATATATAACAACTTATATATATGGCTGGTACTCCTCCTTTTAGAAGAAAACAAAATTGCACTTGCGTCAGAAACACTATTGGTTTCTCTAGATTTTTGCCCAAGGAAAAAAATCACTGAATGTTGGAAGAAAAATGTTGACAAGAAACTGATGTTTACCAGAATTTGTTTCTTCTAAAAGAGGACTCACCACCATATATATAAGTTTATATATTGATTATTTAGAAATATGTACAAGAAGATTAGAGTTGGCCCTCAAAACTCTTACATCAAGACCTTAGATCTCTTCACTTTTCTTGATTCTGTCAGTATTTTTCCTGTCTTTCATTGTTGATTAGTTGGGCAGTTTATTTCTCAAGATACTACAAATCTATAGCCTTGTTGATGCATAGATGAGCATCCCAGTGTTAATGAGTCATTCAGTTGCAAGTTTTGGAAAATTAGTTATTGTTCTGGTCAATTCATTAC